TGGATAGTATTCAAGAAAATTGTTGCTTGATAATTGATTACTACCCGGGTATATTAATATAATAATAAGTAAGACTAATACATATTTTGAATTTTATAGTAATGATATATCCTGCCACTAATACTACCCCCCTTCTAGTAAAATATCTCCCCAGGTATTAATCAATTTATTAAGGGGTAAATTGATTAATACCCGGAGTATTGTATGCAGTGATATATGGTAGTATTATATACCGTATATAGATATATTGTATAATAATTAAATTTAACAATATTGGTTAAAAATTAATAATAAATTAGAATAATAATATTTGAAAATAAATAAATAAAAAAACATGATAAATTATAATAAATTATTTAACAGAATTATAATTTTATATTCATGTACAGTATATTATATGTTGTTAATTCTATATAAAATTTGTAAAATTTTGATTTTTATTAAAAATTTTTTATATATTTTTAAAGATATATTTTTGGAAACATTATATCAATAACATTTATTTTATTTTAAACAATTTATATGATAACGATATAAATGTAAATAAAAGCTTAACGAAATTTTCAAATAATTAATTATAACTGGATTTTGCAATGAGAAGCCATCAATTTGTGTAACGACTCGTCTGTCAATCATTTAACCGGGTGCATTGCATTCGTGATTTGAAAAAATGCCTAAAGTTAAACCCAAACTGAAAAACCTGTTGTCTAAACTTCAGCAAGAAAAGAAAATTAGAGATAAAGCATCTCAACCTTATCCCAAAAAAAGACCATCGTCGCATGTTCGGCCACCCCGACCACCGCCATATCAGCCAGGCGATTCAATTTTATTAATAGGAGAAGGTACTTAACTTTAACGAATTTCTATCTACAGCCAAAAATAAACGCATTCTTTTTTTTTTTTCCTTCTGTTTACAGGAAATTTTAGTTTTGCACGTGCCCTTGCCGAAAATGTTCTTCACGTGGGACATTTGATCATCGCAACGACTCTTGATAGTGAAGAGATTATGAGCAAGAAATATGATGATGCACGTGATCATATCTCGGCATTTCTCAAATGTGGTGGAAAAGTTTTGTATGAGGTTGATGGAACACAATTAAGTAAATGCAAAGGATTGAAAAATAAAAAATTTGATAAAATTGTGTTTAATTTTCCTCATGCTGGTAATTCTATTGATGCATCATCAGTTATTTGACTCGTTTGAAATAAAGACCGAAAAATAATTTTGATAATTATTATTGTATTTCAAGGCGCAGGAATTAAAGACCAAGATCGAAACATTCTCGCGAATCAGAAGCTCATTGAATCATTCTTGAATTCAGCCATACCCTTTTTAAAGTCTCGGGCACTCTATTCCGATTCTAATGACGGGGAAATTCTCATAACCATTAAAACTGGATTACCGTACGACAATTGGAATATTAAAAAAATTATAAAATCAACAGGTGCTCTTGCCGTCAGGGAAACATTACCATTCAATGTGAGTCAATATCCTGGATACGAACATAGGAGAACCTTAGGTTTTAAAGGTAGTGTTAGTAAAGGTGGAAACGAAGAAATCTTAGATAAGAAACCCAAGACCATTGTTATCGTTCGAAAAGAGGTCATTGAATTCGAGACAGAACAAAAAAAGTTGAAGAAAAAGGAGGATGGAGAAGAAGAGTGAGAAAGGTTATCGAAAATGAATTTAAGAATTTCACCCGCTCTCCGATATGTTTTATTATTTAAAAATAAATAATTCGTTCGAACTTCAAATATCTCAAGTACCCTTAAGTGATGCAAAAAATCTTTAAAAAATACGGTTAACATTGACCCTCTTTTTGAGCTTTAAATAACATCTCAGGATTTGATAACATTGTGACGTTGCCTATTCAACTTTGTTAATTTTAAACACTTCGTAGTCATCTATGGAGAATTGTTCTCTCGAATTTCTGATCCATCGTTCGTAAGAAAGCCCATGACTCTCATAATCACGACTATAGCCTGCTTCAGCATCATTAAAGTTCCCAGAGGACGACCAAAATCCGAGATTATAATATCCAAAGGCGAAGCCTTGAGGCTTAGATATAAAAATTGCTTTACTTGCATCTTTCACTCGACTTAAAATAGAAGTCTGGATGCTACCGTTGCTTAAAGAAAATATAAAACTATCACTGGTTTTAAGAAATCCACCAGAGTCTGTACTCAATTCTAGAGGGTTGTATCCACCAAGAATTTCATCAGTTTCCTTGACCTTCATTACAACCACCGTGCCGCCTTGCATTTCGCATTTATTCCAGAAGGTTTGTGGTGAAAAATCATCTCTGCTTCCACGTAAAAGCAACTTGAATTCATAATTAATGTTGTTTACACGGGATGTTTCATCTCTTCGGTCGATCCATGAAGAAATCTCTGCAGCATGTTCACGAGTAATGATATTTGAAGTTAACTCCACATTTCGAAGAGGCAGGTTCATAGATGAGATTTTGCGAGCTGGAAGAATGGTGAATTCGATGGGTCGATCCGGAGTCATGAATTTTTTTACCAAAGCTTTCCAGAGATCGGCGTCAAGGATTTTTTCATAAGGGTACACTTTATCACTCATATCTTTACCAGAAATATGAAAATACCGGATAAGTGGTAAACACTGTCGAAGAGTAGCTTTCAATATCTCAAAATCCTCATCAGTCCATTGATCTAGGTTTGTTGGCAAGTTAGGATTCTGCGAAATTCCCCATGCAATAACCTTATCCCAAATTTTAGATTCCTCTATCTGTAAATCATCTCGTCCAAGAACAGATACTAACGCGGACTCTGGAATGGTATTAAACTCTTCAGAATCAAAAATGAGATTTGGGTATTTTGCCACAATGTCATTACAAAAATGTTGTAATATTTTCAAACCATCAAATTGGAAACTAACACGATAAGTACGAACAAAATAAGTTTTGATCCAGTGAGAGTAAAATTCTATTAAATGAGTTTGTAAATGGTTGCATAATTCTTCAAGTTCAAGGTCATGTGCAGAAATCATCAAGTCAAAGATTGTGGATTCTTTCATTTTCTCCAAATTTACGAAGCCACCATATATATATCTAGTAATAGTTGAACATTATAGTTATTCGACGTAAAACTTTCAAACTTGTAAAACTTACTTCAGAATAATTTCCAATATTTGTGCAGAAATTCTATCTTTCACAATTATCTTAATATTTCTTTCATCTTTTGAAGCTTTTTTTAATTCTTCACGAAAGTGGGAAGAGCGGTGTCGTAATACGGAAGAATGAGCTCTAAATGATTTTTTATCGGATGCACTAATAATCACATTGTAATCTTCATCATCAAGAAGCTCTCTAAAATCGTGAGAAAGCTTTTCAAAGAAGTTGGTGGTCATCTTTATGATATACAGTATATGCTTTGTATGCACTGTTGACGTGCGAATGGATTATGAATCGTTTCACAGATCTGCGTTAACGGAAACAAGTAATCACGTGAAGCTCGTTTCGTGTCACTCTGACGAATATAAGTAAGTAGTGTTCTTGTTGATTTTATAGGTGTTTTATTTCCCGAGGGAAAAAAATGTCTTCGAACACGTCAATGACAGTTGACAGTCCCACACCACGTGCAACAGATGCACCACTTAATCTTAATGATTTGACACGTTTTTACACACCGAATACGCAAGTTCCGAGATCGTTCTTGTCTGCGAATCAGTCACTCACCGGAAATCCAAATAGTTACTTTAATAATAATGTCGGTTTTAGAAGGTCTTGGCGTTTGGACAATTTTCAGTGTCTACTTTTCCTAAAAGCACCATAATATTTATTCAGTTTGTTGAATTTTATGAATTCAACATTGTAGGATTTAGATCTGGTCGGCGACATCCTCACAAATAACTTGGGCGATTACGGTGGTACGCACGATGTGTACATCAAATTTGCCCAAGCTTATTCGCGAAATTCCCAGCAAATGGATTTGCAAAGGACGCCGGAAAGTTACGAAGAGCTGTGCGATCTATTGTTAGTACTGAACTTTTACTGTTATCATTTTTGTTTTAACTTGCCAACCAAACCTGATTTCAAACTACACAGCCTGAAAATAATTGAGGGGGAGCATGTTAGAACGTTCGCTTCAGAATATAAGCAATGTAATCTTTGGGAGATCGAAAGAAACACGTGGAATTTGATAAATCAATTACAGATGTGAGTTTCACATTAGTTATCATGGAATTGTATTTATTTAAACTGACGCATGTCAATTTCAAGACTCCGATCGACGCACCCAAAGGATTTAAACATACCTTTAAAGCCATATCTAACGGAAGGAGAATTACTTGGCGAATTAATCGCGACTAAAATCGACTTTGCTGAAGCCTGTGTATGCATTCACCAGTGTTTCAAATATAATATGATTTCTCATGAATTAGACTGTTTGATATATATATATACTGTATATATATTAAGATTGTACGAAAATGGTTGCAAGAAAAAGCGCCACCTTTTAATCCAGTGGAAACGCATGGTGAAATTTGGTCAGAAACGAAAAGTCATATCTTATATACTTTGAAGGATGAAAGTAACAAATATCTCGATCCGGATGGCCCATACAGAAATAAAACTTCTCTACTTCCTACTGATCAGGTATGATGATTCCTCGCACGATCAATTATTCGTATTACTTTGTGACTAATTAATCTACTACCAATTGACCAAAGATACATGATAAAGAGTTAGCAAAATCAGTATTTGAATATCTAAGACGAGGACAAATTCATAATGCGTGTGACATCTGTGAAAAAAATGGACAATATTTTAGATCATCCTGTATCAGTGGCTCGATTATTTACCATGAGAATCAAAACGGTGGCTTTACATCTATTATAGTTTATGTTTCCAAAAACGATGTCGTCATGTGGAATACTTAACTATGTTATTATTGTCATCAACTAGCTGAAGAAGATGCCGTGGAGGGTACTGGAAATATTAACAGATCCTTGACGCGTGCGATATTTTATCGGAATGCACTGGAGGTGAGGTACATTGGGTGCAATCATGTTTAAACCATCGATCGTATTTTGAAATAATCCTCTCTCCTTCGGTATATTGAAACATCAGGTTGATTTGGATATTTACGAGCGTGCATATAATGCTGTTTTATGTGGAGACGTTGATAATGTGAGTTATTTTGCAAAACAACATGTAGGACGTTTTGTCTTGACATAATCAATCCTCACTATTCTTTTACAAATAGGTTGCGCCTGTATGTAGAACTTGGGAAGATTACGTCTGGGCTTATTATAATGGATTAATAGAGTGTAAACAAGAACAGGTACATATTTTAAGCCGTCATTTTTTTTTTTGTTTTTGCATCTATCGGTATACTTTGATAAATATTTATTTTTTTGCCTTCTAATTCATACATTAAGTATTTTGATCAACGCGGTCGTATCTCTAGGGATGTGTGTGATGAGGAATTGCCGGTTCCAATGAATCTATTAAATTTCACTCCGGAAGACATTTTCCGTTCAGTCGAAGCTCTAAAAGTCGACAAGTAAACTTTTGCTGATCCTTCAATTGAATCGAATAGGCAAAGATAAATTATTTTACAAATAACGAATCTGTTTAATCCTAGGTCTCCCTTGTTAAAAATTTTTCACAAGGTTCAAGAACTCTTCATTTTGAATAATACCGATGAAATTGTGAAATTTTTGAAAGTAGAATTACTTGACAAACAACTGAGACAGAAAGAGTAGGTATATATTTCGGTAGAGGTCGTCATTCCCGATCTTCTTGTTTTCTCCTCGTTCGCTAACATTTGGAGTTTATCAGTAATGCCGCCTACTCCCAAATTATATGTTTTGCGGCACATTTTGTGTTGTTTTTACGTGACATGATGATCCCTTCACCTGATCAGGAGTCAGACGACATCATCAAATCGTATACTGAACTCTTAATAGAATACCAACAGGTTAGAATTCACATTCTTATAAGTCTTCTCAAATATCAATTTCAATGTATGCTTATCTTGGAAATTCCACACTAGGAAAGCATCATCGCTTTGTATGCTTCGAAATTATCGAGAGAATTATCGGTCGAGACCTACGCTTTATTTTTGAAAGGTAGATATATACATTTCCGTCTTGATAACTGTTGAATCTTTGGTATCAGAAAACTTTTCGTTTACATCATCCATTTTATTAGGTATCACTGCGAGTTATGACGAAAGATTCGAATTATACAAATTGGCAGAGAAACATGGTCTGAATGTTAAAGCGATTGCTAGAAAAACGTTTGACATGATATTCGACGAGCCAAAAACAGAGGTTGGTTCCTATGACTGTTATGTTTTTACTTGGTTCTTTGCTGACAATCTCATTGATGAAATCGAAAGGAGAAATATGGTTACATTTCCCTCCGCAACGGAGCCTCTTCTGATACATTAACAAATCCACTGGATCCCCCGCTTCGTGAAACGAATGATCCTGTCGAACCACATGATTCTGTTAAGATTCGAGGTTTGGAATGGCTAACCTTTAACAAGGATCAAATGATTGAGGCATTCGACCGCGCCAATGCCTTGTGCAGAAGATTCTTGGGTAATTTATTTACATTTTAGAATACAGTGAAGGTGTTATCGCAACAATCATTATTTTTGTCATCCGCTGACCCTTTGAAATTTAGCCAAGGGAAAACTAAATGCTGTTAAAACCCTTTTCCGCGAAATTTCAAATTCGAAATCTCCTTTGTCGAGTTATAACATTGATGAAAAAAAATCTGGTTATGAGTACTCTGTACTTAGCGAGTATTCATTTTATTACACTCTGACCGATTTCTTTAGTAAAAATGAGTACTGGGTGAAAATTGAACGAGAAAAATCCCTCGAGTATGCTGTTTCCCATCTATTTATTTGTTTATTTGTTATGGTCGGTATGATAGGTTGCAAATTAACCGAACCCACATTGCGTTTCTAGTCAAACTTCTTACAGTCGAGACATTACCAAGTGGTCGATGCGAATAAGAGTAATATTTCTTTTTGATGTGTTTTTTCTCAATCTGTTTAAATTTGTGTCTCAAAAGTTTTCTTTAAAAATCAAGGAAGCTACCGAGACTTTAGAAAAGCTTTTCGATAAGTTCCTATACGCACTGGCACGTGATTCAGATGAAGGTTCTACAATTGAAGAAGGTAATTATTTATTTATTTTCATTTTCATTTTCATTTGGTTATTGAATTTATGATGATGAATAAATCTTTTTTTTTTGTTTTCCAGATGATCTTCGAACACAAGAATTGGAACAGATAAAGGATATCTATGTTCCGAATATCGTTCTTCGCCTGCACCATGTATATGAAAAGACGCAAAAAATAATACCAGCGTACGTCTGTTTGGATCAATATTTCATGATTATAAAGGTGTCAAGCGTAGCTAACGTGTGTTAAATATTTACGCTTACACTAGTAATTTGAACAAAAGCTTTCACCTTGCGAACTTGATCGCAGATGAAAATCAACAGCTTTATATTCATTTTCGACGCGCGAAGAAGTTACCCACGTTGATTGAGTGCATAAAAAGTTCATACCTTGCGATAATAAGGGATAATCCAAGTGACGTTATTCTTTATTAAGGTATCATGTTTAAGGTGAAAATTACATGCATGTAATATCTCAAGCATTCATCAACAATAGACTGGAAGTTTACTTTCTGTTTTGACCGTACGTTATTCACGACATCTGCATTAGTGCAAAGTATAGAAAGAATGAATATTACCAAGCTTAACGAAAAGCAATTTACTTTGATTTATGGATTTTGCAATATGTATTCGATGTTTTTCGACTAATTATTGTATCCATTAAACACTTGTGTAATACGCATTACGAAATAATTGATTAAATGTTATCGATACCAAATTATATAAGGATGCGATTTGGATTTCTTTTTTATGTCTAGTTATTTATCAAAGATTTACCAAACATACAGTATTCCAAACTTGTCATTCTTTAAATGCTAAGGCAAGAAACGATGTATAAAATAACCATACTGTTTACACGTTCATATTAACTATTAACCGTTTTTTACGGATTCACTTTTTTTAAAAAATCATATCCATTTAAAAAATATAAAGACATTCGAAATTTAAAATAGAATTCAACAATGAAAATCTTGCTTGACCTCATTATGGAATATTCTTTTTTCTATTGATAATGAAATTATATTAAGCATTTTTATACAATAATGAAAAATAAACAATTCAAAAAACAAATTTTGTTAAATTTATTATGATTTCAATATTATTGTTTTAAATGATTTTTTATTATTAAAGAAAAAGCAATTTCAATTCTAACATTATCTATTTTGTTTATTAATACTTAAAATTTTTTTAAAACAATAAACTATCAATTATTTCCTTGTTTTTTCAAAAAAATAATATTAATTAACTTATTTTAACAATATTTTATCTACTTGATTGTTTTTTTTTTATTAATAATATTTTTTGATACTAATTTATCTAATGTTTAGTTTTACTTTACTTATTAATAAATTTATTTGATTTTTAATCTCTTTAATTTTATGTAAATTAATTAAACAAATATTATTTATTTCAATTTTTTATTTTAACAATTTAATATAACTTATTTATTTTTTTGGAGGTTTCTCCAGTAGATAAACATTATTTCTTTATTTTGATATTGTATATAACAAGATATACATCATTGAAAGAAACAACATTTCTTTCATTATTTCAAAAAAGTTAAATGCTAACTTGCCTACTTATTAATATCTAACTAATATTATAAAAAAATTCAAAATCAATATTAATATACTAGATAAGGCTGAGTAGTGGCTATGCCTACCATCCCCGGAAATTTTGTGAATTTTTTTGATTTTTTAAATATAAAAAATTGAAAAGAAAAATAAAAGTAACTATAACTAAAACTAAATCAAATATACTGTAAAATCTATAAGTAGAAAACCAATTATTTCCCTGAGGAAGCCTCTGGACAGGCTCATGGTCCCATCTTTCCAGCTTTTTAATTACCATAGATAATAAAGTATATGTGATGTTGTTTGTCATTATAGTTATTGGTAGTGTGTTAATTGTTGTTATGATACAAAACTGGTTTGAGCTTGTTTGAGTTTTGTTTTGATCTTTAAACAAAATCTGATTGAATGATTGGAGAGTGCTAATTATCTGAAGGGGTAAACTGATTTCATTTTTTTGAATAAAAAATTTTTGAAAATTGAAAATGGCACAACAGATATTGTTATAAAGATATTGTGTATAAGGGTTGACTTGAAACAAACAATAGATCTACTAATTCTATTTGAGCATGAATTTTGAAAAGTATTTGGCTTAGCAAATATGATGATAATGATATGTATAGTTTTTATAATAGAATAAGGGTATAGAAGGATGCAAGAGAACTGAAGAAAAGAGAACTGTCACAGGTATATATACATGTTACTGAAATTCGTAGATCCTTGATACAATTAATGCAATTATTTGACGCAATTAATTGTGTCAATTGCATCAAATAATTGTGTCAATTGTGTTAAATAGTTATGTCAATTGCGTCAAGGATTTATGAATTTTAGCAACATGTATAGTCACTGACCTTTCTTCATGCAATCGAAGGATAAGCAAGACTCCTAAACTTAAGTAGACTTTAACCAGAGGTCCCATCTTATTGTACCAGTTATTTTGAAAATTCTTGAATTTCTGAGCTGAGGCTTACTTGCGATAAAAAGTGTAAAATATTTTTTCTTACTTAAAATTATCATAAAGAAAATTTTTAACAAAATGAATGTAATCTAATACAACTTACTTATAATAAGTATATATAAATATTAGTAAATATAATTAATTAATTGATTATATATAATTGAAAAAAGATGTCCAATATATAATCCAAAAATATTCATTCAAAATAATTAAATACTTTATATTGTCAGAATTACTAAAAATCTAAAAATCTAAATTTGCCTAACCAAATATCCAAATCATCATTCAAACACAAAAAACTCAATAGGCCTTCTACTAATCAAACTTCAATCAAATATCATAACCATTACAATCAATATTACTAATGTTCTCAATATCCAGTTCACAAATTAACTAATAAAGTTCAACAGCATAATTAAACTCTTCTGATTTCAACTAATAGCTTATATAGAAATTATTCAACATAGATCAGAATTCTGTTAATTCAAAAACTTCATTAATTACAATAGTCTATTGGATTTCATAAATCAATATCCAATTACAGAGCATCTTTCTGACTTATTTACAATATCAACACTATAGTTAAAATATACAAAAGATATTATTATATTTAGAAAAATCTTTATCTTAAAGAAAAACACTTCAATATAAATAATAACAACATTTTTATAAAATATGATAATTACTTAGCTAGTACTCCAAGCACTGGCTCATATATACTAAACTTTACAAACTCAGAAGCATCCTCTTTATAGGTTCTTTCAACCTCTCAAATTTCAATAAGAATTATTTGAGTAATATAATTGAAAAGATTTTAAAAATCTTCCAAAAAAACAAACATATACTTCAATTAGTAAATATTTTTTTCAATTCTCCTTTCATTTCAATACTTTAGGAAATTAATTTCTCTCAGTTATATTATATTCAATACTATCAAGGATATATTTTTATAAACAACTTTAAAATCAAACTAAATAATTCTGGCTTTCTATCTAGTGATCTGTTACAAATCCTCTTTAATCTTTTTCACTAATGCCTTTTTAACTGTGAAATTGAAATAAGAAACAATAAAAGAATACTTCAAGAGATTTCTAACTATTCTAGAAAAATAGTAAAAATCAATTTTTCCTCAATTTTTTATAAAATTAACAAAATAATATACAAGAAAATAATTTTTCTTACTTACTTTAGCTCAAGTCAGATCCAAGGGTTAACAATATCATAAACTAAAACAATTTAATACTATATTTTTCAGAAATCCTCAATTAATAACTTTTAGCTAGGTAGTAGCATCAAATGGTACAAAAAAATTCTCAGCATTATCAAAATATATATAATAATGAAAAGCTTATTAATATTAAATAAAAACATTTGATTTTATCTACAATCTCAAGACTTCAAAATTATTAACAAATCTAACAAAACCCTAAAAAATACATAAAATAACAAATATAGTGATCTAATTGCTTTTTATATCAAGTTCTTGTCAGGAACTCTTCTTATATGAAAAAATCTCTATTGGCAATATTCAGATCAATACCCAGATCTTTACTGTTCATGATATAAACTTCTCACTAAAAATATATAACATGTATTCAAATATCTAATAGCTTCAGAAAAAACCAACCAAATTATTAAACAAACCAACCTTATCCTCGATCCTAATAACAACTCAAAACTGATAATCCATATATAACAAATCATAAATTTAGCTTGAGATATTACTGATAACATCTTTTCTCTATCAGACTTTAACAACTGGACACAAATATTAACTGAAGTCCTAATATAACTATATAATACTATATAAAAATCACAATGTGTCATGGCCAATATCTCTCCATAAAATAGTATAAAATAGAAAGAAAAATCTCTTATTAATATAATCAAAAACAGTTAAACAACTTCCAAATCAAATCTGCAAAAATCTCATTAATATAAAAATTAATAACAACAGTTGACCTATCTATTCTAGTTGCAGATACCTATATTTAAAACAACTTTAATTTTTCTAAATATATTATCAAACTAATCCAAAACTATACTTATCTTATTTTCTTCAACATTAAATAGATAAATATAGCCACTCGGTACCTCTTGGCAAAATATATTGTTTTAAAATTTATTTTTAATATTAGTTATTTGGTTTCTGTAAACAAGCTAGCATTAAACTTATTGTATTTACTTATAAGAAATACTATTTCTTTTATGATATATACTTTTAATATACAAATCAAATAAAGAAATAATGTTTATCTACTAAAAAAAAAATTAATATTTAATAAAATATAGTTGTTATTTTGATATTTATTAATAATAAAAGATCTTGTAGTTAAGAATAGGTTCCTAAATTATTTAGTATATAAAATTTTGCAAATCAATTTTGTCTCTTCAAAAGGGACATAATTATTTAATTATTACTTTAATAGGAACATAATTCAAAAAATACTTGGATCAAGTGGCCTAAATTACAAAAAATCTTTGTAGATAGTTTTTTTTTGATCTTATATTTTAAAAAAAACTTTTTTAATAATGAGAGATATTTGAATTATGTTCTTATCTTTAATTTAAAAACCCATCTTTACTTGTAATTATATAAATTTTTATTTTTGAAATTGCTTATGTTAATCTTTAATAAATATAATAAATATATTTTGATGTTTTGTAAAATATAATTAGTTAAAAATTAATTATTAATTAATTATTAGAAATAGAATTTTGAGACCTGTGGGTCTGTAGTATAGTGGTTAACACTTCACAGGTCAAATCACAAGATACCAGTTTAATCCCATGTGAGAACAGTTAAATAGAATTAATATGGTATCTGGCACCATAACCTGTTAAGTACTGTTTCTTTTAAAAAGCCATTTCACATGCTGATCCAGCAGGTGTTGAGATTGTAA